TTTTCACACAACCAACTCGAAAAACGTTGGAGGTGGACAATTTTGGTCGTCACGAAAACGATTGGAAGGCAGTCAAAAAAATAATTTGGTCTGTATGAGGCGTCATACCTATGTGAGCACTTGAAACAGACGATGGTCTTTCCTGTAACTAACATTCACGCAACCAACTCAAAAAATAGGGAGGTGGACGAGTTTTGGTCGTCATGGAAACGCTTGGAAGGCAGTCAAAAACACCAATCTGGTCTGTATGAGGCGTCATACCTACGTGAGCACTTGGAACAGACGATGGTCTTTCCTGTAACTAACATTGAGGGAATGTTCTGTCGTATTTTCACACAACCAACTCGAAAAGCGACGGAGAAACTCGTATTTTGGATGATACGAGAGCGCTGGGAAGTCGGTGAAATACACCCTTTGTGCATCTGTCGGGTGTAAAACATAGGTATTTACCCAAAATGGACTATTGGGATTCCTTTTACTATCAAAAGGACGATGTTGTGTCGTATTTTCACACAACCAATTCGAAAAACGGGGTAGGTGGACGAGTTTTGGTCGTCATGAAAACGCTTGGAAGGCAGTGAAAAACACCAATTTGGTCGGTATGAGGCGTCATACCTACGTGATCACTTGGAACGGACGATGGTGGTTCCTGTAACTAACATTAAGGGAATGTTCTGTCGTATTTTCACACAACCAACTCGAAAAACGGGGGAGGTGGACGAGTTTTGGTCGTCATGAAAACGCTTGGACGGCAGTCAAAAACACCAATTTGGTCGGTATGAGGCGCCATACCTACGTGAGCACTTGGAACGGACGATGGTGTTTCTTGAAACTGACATTAAGGGAATGTTCTGTCGTATTTTCACACAACCAACTCGAAAAACGGGGGAGGTGGACGAGTTTTGGTCGTCATGAAAACGCTTGGACGGCAGTCAAAAACACCAATTTGGTCGGTATGAGGCGCCATACCTACGTGAGCACTTGGAACGGACGATGGTGTTTCTTGAAACTGACATTAAGGGAATGTTCTGTCGTATTTTCACACAACCAACTCGAAAAACGGGGGAGGTGGACGAGTTTTGTCGTCATGAAAACGCTTGGACGGCAGTCAAAAACACCAATTTGGTCGGTATGAGGCGCCATACCTACGTGAGCACTTGGAACGGACGATGGTGTTTCTTGAAACTAATATTAAGGGAATGTTCTGTCGTGTTTTCACACCACCAACTCGAAAAGCGACGGAGATACTCGTATTTTGGATGATACGAGAGCGCTGGGAAATTTGAGAAACAGGAACCATTGAATTATCCGAACTACAATCCGTAATATACCAATCAAACAAGCCATCCACATGCTTGCTTGTTATGCGAAGATGACGAAATTGAATGCAACGACAACACGAAACAGCCAGTGGTCTCAACCAACGCTATGACAATGCAATAAACAGGACGATAATTCTTCTGGCCATTGACACTCTCTCGCTCACAAACTGCCAAAGGATATTTCCAAGAATGCAATTTTTCGTGGAACGGTGTCCTCCTTGCTTCTTGAGAGCAATCGCTCCATGGAAAGGAAATGATGGCAAAGTCTCGCAGAGGAGCTACTACCAATTTGGATCTGAATGCTGGTTTGAGAGAAGATTCTCTTATAATTTGACCATAAATGGAGTCAAAGATGTATCCATGGGAAAAGCAACGAAGTCCTATCGTATCGGCCAGCTCATTCGTTGTCGGTGACTTCCTTTTCCCCCGAAACGACGACAACTTTCGAGTGCACACCTTTAAAAAAACGTCACTTCAATGGAAAAGCAGTTGGTATCCAAGATGAGTTAGTCGACAGTGGATTCCAAAGAATGGTTAACAACAACCCATCATCCAAAGATAATAATATCGTGGTGATGTTCACAATTGTTGGACTTGAGAGGGACGTAAACCGATCCATTGGAATTGCAACTGAGATGAATGCTGTTGTTGCCATTGTTGTATGTCCATCCTCAGTTGTATCAACCGTGCCTTCGTTTGCCAAGGTATATTGTTGTTTATGTTGTTGTTTATCATGTTGTTTGGCTGATTTTGTTAGTCATAAAACATGTTAACTCCTCAACTATCCTGGGGTATTATTTGGATAAAAAAATTCTTGTCAAATATCTAGAAAGAAATTCATTGTGCCAACGGCAATCCCAAAAGGACGAATACCTCGATCATTTTCAGCCGTTTACGTCTCGTTTCTTGTCCAAATGTTATAACAGGCAATATAATACGATAGATGTGCTTCCATGTCGAGGATGGAATGGGTGAGTCCGCATGTTCCACAATCCAACGTCGTCCAAAGACCATCCCAAAAGACAATTTTCCAACCATTTTTAGCCTTTTACATGTTTCGTTTCTTGTCCAACTGTTTATAAAGTGCGATAGGAAAGAAATGGCCGTCAAAGATATCATGTATTATGGTAGGTATGGTACCATGTCGAGGCTGGAAGGATGATATAACGCTTATTTCGACATCGCGAGAACTATCTCCATTATTTTTAGAAGAGGACAGTACGACAGGACCCTTGTTTTCGCGCGACCTACTTCTTGATGCGCGCGTAGAATATCAGTACCGTATTCATTCAAGGTATGTTCGGGATCATGATGCGTTTTTTGAGAAACGGGGAGTCAACAAATCCCCCCCAGAAAATATGGGCGCTTTCGAAAGCGCCCATAAAAAATATGGGCGCTTTCGAAAGCGCCTACGAAAGCGCCCATAAAAAATATGGGCGCTTTCGAAAGCGCCCATAAATTCCTTGGTTGCGTCGTAGACGAGCAGCAATACGAAAGTTCCACCAATCGACAAGTAGCAAATAGCAGCAGTACGGTTGTTCTATCCTCCTCTTGTCGAAGTCACTTTTCACCATGAGAAAGTGTAAACTAAGGCCCGGTGTTGGCTGTATATGGGCGCTTTCGAAAGCGCCCATAAATTCCTTGGTTGCGTCGTAGACGAGCAGCAATACGAAAGTTCCACCAATCGACAAGTAGCAAATAGCAGCAGTACGGTTGTTCTATCCTCCTCTTGTCGAAGTCACTTTTCACCATGAGAAAGTGTAAACTTAGGCCCGGTGTTGGCTGTAAAGCCACTTTCCTCACTAAGTTCATCCACCCGAAGCAAAATAACATTGATGCCTCACATCGGTCCACCGTTGTGCTGCTGTCAAATGAAAAGAAAACTGTAGGCCGGAAAAGTCAAGAATGCTACACATTTCGTTTTGTTGATGGCAACAACAGCGACATTTTCTATGCTGTGAAGACTCATTTCAAAATCATTGAAGAGGGCAGAAATGAAGATTTTTTTGATTCGGTATCAGCTGGAGAGATCCGTGTTGAAGCACAGTCAAAAAAATTCAAAGAGCCGAAGATGAAGTGGCGCAAAAGCAAAGCTAAACGAATCCTCTACAACGCTCTTTTGGAGGGAATCATTCCAGTTCATGACAAGAATTTCCAGCAGATGTCATTGAAAGATGTTTACTGTATTGATCCAGAGCTCGCATTGTACGATATCTCCCTATTGCTGTTGCAAGGGAACGAGTGTGGTGTTTCCTATCGAAAATCCAAGCACTCAAGCACGAGAAAATCGTGTGGCCCGACGATTGGGATGATGACATATGGATCATCACAGTGGATGGAACCCACTGTTGGATCAACGAACCACAACATCCAGATTGGTCACAGGACAGAGAATTTTACTCACACAAATACAACAAGGCTGGCATAACTACGAGCTTGGCATTGCTTTCTCAACGTCTGATCTTGTTTGGATGAATGGGCCGTATCAAGCTGGTTGCAGTGACAAAAAAATATTCAACCAGAATGGGCTAAAACAAAAGCTTTTAGAGATTGGGAAGAAGGCAATCGGTGATCAAGGATACAATTTGTTATCATGGTGTCATCAGCACTTACAATGCTCACGACTCTTTCGGTGTAAAGAAGTTCAAATCGAGGGCACTCAAACCAACACATGCTTGCTCACTTACCCTTCCACCGATTACGTCTTCGCCAACAATCGAGAAGAAATCGCGTCGGCACAGGATGATTGTCTTACCGATGCTTTGGACGATGAGCTTTGGACGATCCATCAAAACAAAAACTCCGATGTTTCCAATCCAGTTCCCAAAACCAAGAATCTCCTGCTTGTCTTCCCCGAAAATGTCGTAATCGAATGGGAAGATGTCGTCAATCGGTCTCTCGTCAACGATGAGAACGAGTTCCCTGGATTGTCCTTGACGGTAAGTGCAACCCATCCAAACGCTAGTGGACGCAGTGTGGGACATTTCGTCTATTGGAAGATCGGTCGCTCCGATATTCTTATGGCCAAGAAAGGACCGGTGCAGCAGATGCGGAAAAACCGACTCGGCTTTCAGTTTTGATTCGCTGGTAACGAACCATCAGAAGGGGGTGGTGCGGCTCCGGATATGGCAATGTCTTGAAAGCAAAGGGAAAAAAGTAATGACGATGTAATCGAATTGTTGCAAAGGGCGCATTTCGTTGCTGTGATGTCTGATATCGAGACTAGAAACTTAAATTTATACAAATGAAATAGCGAAAAGTTTTATTACCACCTACTAGTCATCACAAGAATAGTTTTCTGGCAGTTGCCACAACTCTACCCTCATGATTATCGCAATCGATGCCTTCTTTGTTCGAATGATTGGACATAGCCTCACTTCATCATAGTTGATTACTGGTAGGGGCACTGCGTGTTTGGCCTTACCTTTTGATTGAAACAAGCAAGAACGGCAGCAAGTGCGAGCGATACCATCGTCCGGAGTCTGGTGGAAAAAAAATCTGTGGATGAACTTAGTGAGGATAGTGGCTTTACAGCCAACACCGGGCCTAAGTTTACACTTTCTCATGGTGAAAAGTGACTTCGACAAGAGGAGGATAGAACAACCGTACTGCTGCTATTTGCTACTTGTCGATTGGTGGAACTTTCGTATTGCTGCTCGTCTACGACGCAACCAAGGAATTTATGGGCGCTTTCGAAAGCGCCCATATTTTTTATGGGCGCTTTCGAAAGCGCCCATATTTTTTATAGGCGCTTTCGAAAGCGCCCATATTTTTGATGGGCGCTTTCGAAAGCGCCCATATTTTCTGGGGGGGATTTGTTGACTCCCCGTTTCTCAAAAAACGCATCATGATCCCGAACATACCTTGAATGAATACGGTACTGATGTTCTACGCGCGCATCAAGAAGTAGGTCGCGCGAAAACAAGGGTCCAGTAAAGAGAATACTAGTCGTAAGATACGGTATGGTACTACTCTACTAGAGAGAGGTATGGTAACTCTGGAAGAAAATGGCGGAACTGCCATCATCCACTGCCATCAAAAAACAAGACAAAGATATCTTGATGGTTGAAGTAAGACTATAGAGTTTTATTTTTTTTTTTAAGCTCAGATATTTTAACATTATCTGTCAGACTATCGACGAGACCAGATCACCGAAGGCTTGAGAACGCGAACGATTTAGGTATTCTCCTCGAAGGCTTCTGACCCAAAGCGAGAACTTCTCCTCGAAGGCTTGAGAACGCGAACGAATTAGGTATTCTCCTCGAAGTTCTCCAGACCCTACCACGTACTCTACCGGTAGTTTTTATTTAAAGAACCGAAACTATGCATCTTGCATAAGTCTGGATGTTGATCGTAAAAATATAAAAGATAAACGCTTAATGCAAGTTGACAATTGCATAACGCTTATTGCTACTTGTGCAAAATGCCTAAATATATATATATATTTTACTCTAGAGCTAGTTAGGAGTAGAGACCGTTTCCTCTGTCTGGCAAATAATAGTGTAACAATTGAGAAATCTACTGAAAGTTGATTATTGAAAAATGCATGATCATAATTACGAACCTTCACAATGCTTCTTGCAGACGGCAAAATTCTGATCGATGATTAGGTACGAAAAATCACGAATGCAGCTTGTTTCTCAGACGTGTTTATTTGTCACCTCATGCGAATGTCTCTCGTCATCCTCCCGACAACATATTATGTACAAAGTGATCGGCGAAGGACAACAACCGTGAAGGCACAGCAGCAGTTGCATCCATCACAAAAACAACGACCAACGTGACGGTTTACTGTTATTATTACGTAACACGCTCATCCCATTTGGGATTTGACGATGCTGTTGGGATTGACATCACGAGATTCTCTTGGAGTGAATGCCAGCCCTCCAAGACGGTATTGTGGATTGTGGATTCATCATCTTGTATGTATGGTATACATATCTGAAACGGGTCAACTTTGAACTCCAAAATGCTTGTTGTGAGTTGATCACTCATGGGACACCCATCACCTCCACCACCTATCATATGGCACTCCAAAAGAATTTTGCAGCCGGTGATGTCAAATCTGTCAACGCAGCAAACATCATCGTCAAAACCATCATCATTGTCATTGCATAGAGAAACGGGAAAACAAAGTGCCATCGGAACGGGAGAACACGTCGTGTAACTGATTTGTGTTTGGTCAGTATCGGATATAAGGGTATTCCCATTGCGGGTACTGAAGACTATCATGATCATCAGAAAGGTATTTTGAACAATGATTACGAGGTGGTAGACAACAACAACGAAAGTACTACTACTGGTTTGGCACCCTTGTATGTTTCGGGATGGTTGAAACGTGGTCCTTCGGGTATCATTGGAACTAATATTACTGATGCCAAAGACACCGTGGCGAGTATCATGAATGTAACTATCATTAGGGGAATGTTCTTTCGTATATTCACACAACCAACTCGAAAAACGGGGAGGTGGACGATTTTTGGTCGTCATGAAAACGCTTGGAAGGCATTCAAAAACACCAATTTGGTCGGTATGAAACGCTTGGAAGGCAGTCAAAAACACCAATTTGGTCGGTATGAGGCGTCATACCTTCGTGATCACTTGGAACGGACGATGGTGTTTCTTGAAACTATCATTAAGGGAATTTTCTTATGTATTTTCACACAGCCAACTCGAAAAGCGACGGAGATACTCGTATTTTGGATGATACGGTATGGTCCTCCTTCCTGAATCATTGGGATCACCACCGATATCATCATCACCACCATACAATAAATAATAAGAAAAAGAATGACTCGAGAGACAATTCCGTTTCTACCACAATAAGAAAAAAAATTACAGTATGAAATCCCACTTTCGACCACTCTCTCTTTCTCTCTCCATTCTCCCAACACAGATTGCATCTCTCATCAAATGATGCTGAATATGGTCCCCTGATTGCTTCTGTTTGGTTGTTGTTGTTGCTGCTGCTGCTGTTGTATTTGGGCTTGGATGATGGATACGACAAAATTGGACAGATAGTCCATCCCTAGCCACAAGTTCGATTCGTCGTTGTTGCGGATCCCATCCCTGTGATCCAAAGGGATGATCACTGTCTAAAAAGGATTCGAGACGTTTCTTGTCCAATCGACTCAATTGTTGAAATGCCGATTTTGGTAAATTCAATTGTTGGACTTGAGAGGGACGTAAACCGATCCAATGGATTTGCAACTGAGACGATGATGGTGTTGTTGTTGTGTGACCGTCCTCAACCGTACCAATAGTATTTTGTTGCTGTTGTTGTTGTTGTTGTTTGGCCCGTTCAATTCTGGCTCCATGCTCGAATTGGTAGGTATGTAATACGGATACACCATACGGATTGCAATACAATCCGACGGCTGGAATTTGTAGTAACTGTTGCAAACAATGTACCCATTGACGTGTGGCGACGTCCGGAAAACCCTTTCCAGTGACGAGGATACATGGAATTCTTTGAAAGATTTTGTCATCGCTGAGTCGCATATACACACCCTCCTTTTCCACCACTAGGATACAGATCGCATCACTTTGAATAGAATACAATGGTGACGACGACGATGATGTTCTTGTTGTTGTTTGCTGTTGTTGTGTTGTTGACAGATTCGGCATAATTCCAAAGTTGTCGGGATTGCCATAGGTAGGTAGTAGGTGTGATGGGTGTCCCGTGAGTATCCATTTCAAAACCATTCAAGATTTGTTGACCCGTTTGGGCATTATACAAGATGATGGATCCACAATACCATCCTCGAGGAGAGGCACTTACTCCCAGAGAATGTCGTGAGGTTAATCCCAACAGTATCGTCAAATCCCAAATGGCCGTATCACATTCTCGTTGATGAAAAAAATGTGTCACGTGATAAAATAGTACACCTCTCGGGTCGTAGCCGTACGCCGAGCCAATAATAAACGATGACAAAAACATGCTACCAACAGGATACTGGTATAGTTTCGACATTGGTGTAGATTCCAAAAGGATAATTGACGTTGTTCTTTGTCAATGTTCGGTACAGATACAGTTACATTGGCGTTTCCATTTGTTTGTTTGTTGTCATTGTTGTCATTGTTTTTTGTGTTCGTATTGGTCAACAATGGAATCAGAAACGATTCCATAATGAATGATTCTAACAGTTTCACAACAGGATCGTCCATTCTTTCATTATCATCATGATGAAGGTCACCAGGTGGTGTGTTTGATGATTGCTGGAGAGGAGTAGTTGTAGTTGTTATTGTACGATCATTGTACAAAAAAGGATGGACGTTCAAAGAACTACTGCCCAACAAGCCATCTTCGTTGTCACCGTTACAACAATAATGAAGGGATGTCATTGGTGTCTTTGGTCGACAAGTTGTTGTTGTTTGGTGTGATTGTGATGGCTCCTGCCGCTGCAGCTGTAGAAGAGAGACATTCGGCATGGTTAAGATTATAGAACTGACTGACTGTGACGGATGATGTCCCCGGAACTGTATGAATATTATTTTTGTATGAGCAGAGTAGATATTTTGAAAGAGATGTTTTCACGTTGTGTCGTAGTAGTATCATAGAGAGTACGGTAAGATGATAGTACTTTATCTTCAATCTGGAAGGATCGGTTCGATCGCACCAACATACCACTACTACGTAGTATCGATTCTTGCAGCTACTACTAGTAGTGTCTCGACGTACCTTCGTAGTACCGGTACTTCGTAGTCTACTTCGTGTTTACGACGTACTTTACGTCGTACGTCGTAAGACCAACCGTTCTTGACTTTTTTCGTCCTCTGTAGACTACAACACTCACAGTCAACAACTACCGGTAGCATACGGTAGTAGCGGTGGACTATGATAACGTCAAGACGGAAAGAATACCTTGTGCATCCACTCTATCCAAACGGTCGTCTTGACGTACCTATACCCAGATGATATATACGATATTCATGACGGAGAGATTACAAAGCACAACAGTGGATTCTTCAAGGGTTGAACCATTGTTGCCGTTGCCATCAAAACAACAACAACAATCTTGCATCATTTTGGGTGTTACCTGTTCTCCGAAACTCCATGATCCATCGGAAGTAATGACCATTTTGACGACCAGTTTGAAAGCACTGTTCGGAGAATTGGAATCGTACAGTTTTGGGATGAAAGTGTACAAACACAAACACAACAACAACAACAGCAACAACGACGACGACGACTTTGTCATCGAATGTCCACTGGAATCTGCGGATGCCATTCGAGCAGCATTGACCATGCCAAAACTGCCACCCTTTTTAGAAGAGGGAAGTGTTTATTATTGCTTCGATACTCACTCAACAATTACTTTTCAATGAGAGATGCTGATGACTGAAACAACAACATGGACAGTGGCAGCAGCAAAAATCAATGGCATGATAATCAATTGGATCAATTGGGGAACGCTCGTTCCTTTCATGGACGTGAAATTTATATTCTACAATGCAATTTTGAAGGGAACTATGACATACATTCAAGATGGTATATCTGTAATATTTCGGCAAAGCGTCATCTTATTTCACTACCAACAATATCCGTCACGTAGCTCATCTTCGACTCACTGTCAAGATCCACATTTCTTGGGATACTTCATCAGTTCGGACCCTAACCCAACGACCAGCAATTCAATCAAATGATGACCATGCTGTAAGCCCTTATAATCTCAATGAATGTTCTCCCCATCCCAAGATACCCACTCATCCTCTCTTCCAGACCGTCCACTCTCCGCATCATGATGAATTGTTTCGATATCCTCCAATTCTTGTTGTCACTCAGCTGCTAGCTGCCA